TTGCCATTAATAGTTTTGGCAACGTGCATTGCACGTTGCTATTAATCAATCTTTTAACGACGTGCATTTCACGTTGTTATTATTTTTTATTTTATTTTATTAAAAATAAAAGGAAAAATATTGATACTCAAACCCTACCCTAACCTCGCTCATTTCTAACCTCATTTCCTCTTTCCCGACTCCACTCTCCCTAACCTCATTTCCTCTCTCCCTCACCGTCCTCTGTCCCCATTTATTCGAGCCCTAGACGGCAGCATCAGAAGCAGACGCAGCCCACAGTCGTCAGCGATTAATGGGCACGAAACCAAGCCCGTTTTATCCCTAGATTTCCACTCTCTCTCCGGCATTCTCTGCACTGGCGGCGCCGACTTCGACATCAAGGTTTCTTTACTTTCTTTCCTTCGACCACCGTTCCAATTATACTACGCTCTTCTCTAAAGATTGGGGTTTTTTTTTATGAAAAATTATTAATTTATTTTTTCAGACTTCGTTCTGTAGATGGGTTTCCTTTGCGTAAGTACTCACATTTGTAAATAACTGATTGGTTTTTTTTTTTGCTGGGTCATGTTTATTTTATCTGTTTTAAACCTTTTTTCGTCAAATCCTTGTGTTTACTATTCGTAATTCATTTTTATGACTGTTGAAGTTTTGAAGTGTTTTGATTGTCTTAGTTAAGAACAGATAAGTGTCCGTTGCAATCAGTAGAGAACTTTAAAATTGAGACAGTAATTAAGGGTGAATTTTGCTGGGTCTTTAGAAATGGGATGAGCATTCAGATCAGCTTTATTTTTTTCTAGCCACTTCTCTTTGTTAATTCTATTTCATATTTATATTCCCTGTCAATCCTTTGAATATATATCCATGACTAACCTGATTTATATTCCCTGTCAATCCTCTTTAGGTCTTAGTGCTTGTTTGGTAGATATTTAAGTGCTTATAAGCAACGGGTGCTACAAGATGTGGATTATAAGTAGATAGTAAGTTGTGAATCTTACGAAATGTGTGGATAAAAAATATGTTTGATAAGCTCAAATTATAATTTAAGCTTTGCCAAATATGCTATTAATCTTTATGTGATCATTTCTTTATTAT